TAATAGCAGTAATCCAATTAAAAACTAATCAGATTACTTTTACACACAGTTTATTTATTATGTTATTGTTTTTACTGGAACTTTTGTCTGTCTGTCTGTCTATCTGTCTGTCTATCTGTCTGTCTGTCCGTTGGTTCCGGCTAATCTCCGAAACGGATGGACTAATTTCGACGGGACTTTCACTGACAAGAAGCTGATGTTATAAGGAGTAACTAAGGCTATTTTTATTTTAGAAACATAATTACGATGCCGTTTAAAAATATTTAAACGTACCCAGAGATGTACACGAGCGTAGTGAGGGCAAGTCACTAGTATTTCATAAAATAGCTACGAAAAGATATACCTTGATTTGTCATTAAATTAAGGTTAGAAAGATTTTTCTAAAACATACAAAACCTATGAAATTCGAATATATCACTTATCATTATTTGTAAGATGTTTAGTAACAGTAACACCTACTTAATCTCAAAGCTAATTTAAACTATAGATTGTTTATTTTTTAAGGTCGTGGCTTTTACGAACGCATTGTGTTTATGTAGGGCGTCTTCACACGACGATATATGATTTGTTTTGTATTTCTTCTCACGGGAAAGTAGGTGGGTGAATTTGAAATATTTTAACTAATTTTGAAATAGCCTTAAAATGTTTTAAAATATATGTTTAATATCTAGGATAAAGGTATAGAAATTAAAATATCTCTCACGTGGTCAGTACAATAATGTTAGTAATTGTATATTAACTGCCTCGGTTGGCTAGCATATGCGGAGATCCGAAGGATTGAGAATCATGGCCTAGGTTTAATTTACTTTAACTTGTAGGTAAATACAACATTTTAAACTATACTACGCATTACGCATGCCACCTGTGCATATACGGGTGGTTATGTCGGACTTATCGGTCAGAAAAGCCAGTACTACCCATTAAAATCCAACGGAACCTTTCCCGTCTTAATAGGGCATCGCAGGATCGCTTACGCACTCAACCACGACGCCTCGAGGGCAGGTCTGCCGAAGCAGACCACAGTACCAAGGGGCTGCTCCCACGGTCCACTCTGCTGTCAGAGAAGTACCATTAATAATTCCTCGACCCAAGAATTGTCTATATCAATGATACACTTCATTGATTTTTTACTTCAAAAATGTTTAGACGAGCAAACATTTTCGCATTTATAATATAAGCAATTATTAACGTATAATTTCAATGATTAATATATCGTTATGATTTAATATCGTTTTGTATTATTTCCTATTAAGGCAAGGTTTTAGCACTATATTTAAAATACCTTTACAGTTTAAAGTTCAAACAATCCTTAGCCTCTTATCGATTTAAGTAATCGACTGCAATCTGCATTTTAAACTCATATAAATGATTCTGATTAAAAATTGGTAATTCTCATCTTATAAAGTTATCATAGTAAAATTCTAGAAATAACTAATAGTTCGTCCAGAGACCGCATGTGTACAGCGTTTGACAATAGGCCTTGAAGAGTGTAATTTTAACCTGGTCAGTACACGAAGCACGCAGCAATTAAAAAATAATATCAAAATTTGATTTATATACAAAACATAAAAACGCATCGCAATACACGCACTTAACTAATGATTATTATATCCAATAAATCACGATATTTTATCGTTAAAAATAGTTTAGAATAGGCCTAGTTCACACAACGCAGACACGTAATAATAGACAATGCGCTTGCGCATATACGCTGTCGTTATGAGGTTAATAATTTGCAATAAAAACATATTCAAAGTGCCTGTACTTGAATAAATAATATATTATACCTAATATCATCATCTGCGAAATAATTCATTTAAAGATAGATAATGTACAATTTTGTTTACTTATAATATGTATGTATGCGTGGTTGTCGCTGACAGATGATCAAAAATGCCAATTTATTACATTTTAATTTAGGACTGTGTTGCCAAAGTTAGCACTTCTTTTAAATATGATATTTAGATTAATTTGACAGGATTTAATAATAATATATTTATATAGTGATTTTAATTATATATTTTTTTTATTGACATTTAGGAAAAAATCTAAATTAACGTTTTATTAGATAGTTTGTAAGTTTGTCAACAGAAACAAAACATTTAAAGTTAACTGTCAAAAGCCATGACAAATCTTTACTTAGCGATTTATAATTCTGTTCTAATTTTTTTAGACTTAAAAAACAAATGTAAAACTGACTTTATTATTGTTAGTAAACTGGTTTAGAATGCACGCAAAGTATCATTAACGATGGATTTGGTGTAAAAAAGCAAGTACTATGTAATTATGAATAATGATTTCTCTTTAACTTTATCTATACCTACATATAGGAATTTTGTGTGTGTCTGTTTGCTTTGTATTTTTTTTATTGAGAACATTTTTTTAAACTGTCGAAATCATATTTGAGGAAATTAGGTCAATCATATAGAGAATGTGCAATATAAAAAGTTACTATAACTACAGATTAAACATTAATTTTGTATTTTTCCTGTATATTATGAGTGAGATCGTGTAGTAGAAGTCAATATATTTGTTAATTGGCAATATTCAATTCATCCTATAGTAGGTTAATTTTTTTCTGTGAGTTTTGGTACTATAATAATATACCATAGCTCATATCACAGACATCACCCACCGAATAATATACATCCATATTAATATTATTAAGGCGGAAGTTACTGTCTCTCTGTTACATTTCCGCTTAACCGATTTAAATGAAATTTGGTATAGAGATGGTTTGAAACCCTGGGAAGGATATATAATAAAAATATTATGAAAAGGGGTGTAGAAGTATGTACGAGGAATCCATCATTTCTCAAGTAAGTGATATAAAACTCATCATACCTATGTATATAATATAGTCTATTTATTCTATACTAAGTACGTTTGTACGTTCCTAGGTTGATTCCCCATGCAAACTTTCATCAACATTTTCACCCCATTAATAATATAATATCCTATATCCTTTCCAGGGTCTCAAACTATCTTTTTACCAAATTTCATCTAAATCGGTCCAGTAGTTTTCGAGTTTATTCGTTACAAACGTACAAAAATACAAATCATTCCTCTTTATAATATTAGTGTGGCTGTAGAATAGTCATGAGCGAACAAAACAAGTTAAATAATTGTTAAATTATAATAAGTGAATAATCATAATATCACGCTACCTTGTGCATTACACGATGCTTCTTCCATTACACAAGTCGGAAGTTAGCTCAAAAGTTGAATGGTATTTTTTTATAATTAGATTTAAGTGATTTTATAGTTACATGTGTCGAGGAAGTTATTGAGCATGGCTCAGTGGTTTGTTACGATTAGCACTGCCTCCTGAATTAGAGGTCACGAGTTTGATGTTATCTGGCCAACTCGTTTAGTAAAAAGTTGTATCTACTGTTCGAGAAAGTCAGTATTATGTTTTTTTGGATATCGTTAGATGTCCCTTAATTTGAACTTAAACTAAAAATTCCGAGGTAAATATACAAATATAATTATTATAGTATGTATGTATCGTAGTTAGTTAATTGGCACCAAAAATGTATTAAAGTTTGGTTATTTGTTATCTCGTTATATTTAACTATGAAAAAGTATATCTATAATGATTTTCCTGTTAAGCTGTAGAAACATAAAATATATTTTTGAATATTATTTTTTTTTAAATATATTTTTTAATTCGGTAAAGATAAAAAACTTTTATGTGTTATGTAGTAAAAAAACACAGTAATAGATTATACTACGAATTAAGGCTTTTAATTTTTTTCTTGTGCTATTAGATCTTAGTTCCTTTTATGGCTCTAGGTCAACAGGAAGTAAGGTAACAGAACTCAGAAGGTAAAGAAGTAAGTTAACTCTTGATTGATAAATAATTGTTTTTTTTTTTTTAATAAGATTTCTTTTTACTAAATGAGATACACCAACTTCAAATTTGCTTAAAAATGAAATTTTTAGTTGACATTTTTTGAAGCTTTAAAAAAATATTAAAAAAAATATTCATAAAAAATATAAAAATAGAGTTACAAATAGCCAAAATCGCATACCTATAAAAACATTTAAAAAAATGAATTCCTTCTCCTTTTTAATGGTGGTCAAAAATATGCGATACGAATAGCCGTGTATTTTGATAGCTTTAAATAAAACAATTTGAAAACAATTTTAAGGAAATTTATCTTTTACATATCGTTTAGTAGATATATCGCAGAGATGAGATATTTTTCTCGCAGTAAAAAGTATCCTATATGTTGACCCGGATAACCAGCTACCATCATATCCAATTTTATCAAAATCCTTCTAGTGGTTTTCTCGTGATGCGTTCCCAGACAGACAGGCAAAAATTCTAAAATCTATATTCGCACTCTGTATCGATAATAATGACTACTTCAATAAGATTTTGCAAAAAATATTTGATTCACAGATTCGACTCCGTTAGAATCTTATCATATTATGTATTATAATAGATTAATTTTTATAATAAATTATATATTTATTTATAATAAAAAATAAATAAAGCTTTTATTTTTCTATAAAGTTGCATATAACTACAATATAACTGGTTGGCCCCGATTAGTTATTTTGACACAATTCTGGTTAGTAAATGTCGGGAAATAAAAAAGGTATAGGTACTAAGGTTATACAAAAGGACGTCGCGAGCATAAAAATAAAATATACAGTGTTTTTCTACTTTTAAACAACTTTGTAAAATTTTTTGTTGTTTTAAAGCCCTTGTTTGTTATTTTAATGGTTATTGAAATTATAATTAGGTCGGTTTCACACTGTGTGTTTATAAAAAATACAAATTTATTTAACACCTAAAGTACCTACATCTTTAGATTTAGTCAATTTACGTAAAAATATTTTTATAACATAATTATATAGGAGTAAACATACATAAAAACACAAATAAAAAAACAATACCTATATATTTTAAATTCCCTTTGCCTTTCAATATTTCAATAAAAAATTCAAAAAAATAATAATTAATTTACGTTTAAATATCATATTTGTAGGTGTACCACATGTGCGACGGTCTCGGCAGGCAGTTCAGCTACTCGTGTCCAAACACGACACTCTTCCAGCAACGCATGCTGATATGTGATCATTGGTACATGGTCAACTGCACCAACTCCGAGGACGACTACGATGCCAACCTCCTAATAGGTAAATTTAACTAAAAGTATATTCAATGATTACTACACTTCGTCGTCTCAGTACTTATTTGACGACCAATTTAACGAAAGAGTTTTTAGTACAGACTTATTGTCACACACAGATAAAATACACATTTTACTTTGAAGAAGCCAAAAAAGGTGTATTTTATCTATATTCATAAATATTAGGAAATTAGCTTTGTTTTTAAAATATAGGAAAACACTCTGGTAAAGTTTTTTATTCAGGAAACAAAGAGTGCCTTCACACTATCAGTTTTATTACATTAATAATAAGAGTCGAATTCCGGTCGAATCACACTCCAGCTATATTTCTTTTCCAAAAATACTTTACCAGACCAGCGTCTGACCGAGAACAGACTATGATAGGCCCTATAATGTGAATCGACCCATAAATTCCACGACCATTCCCAAAATTCTCTAAAATCTAAAAAATTTAGTATTGGTTATCAAAAACTAATTTATCACAAAGCAGATGCACATAACTGAGATTTCTACTGTGTCTTAGGTACATACGTATAACTATCCAGAATTTCGTTATCAAATTTATAAATATTTGATCGGACGTTTGTCACGATTTCGTCGAAAACACAGTAAATGTACAGCTTAAATATTTAATGAGGTAACAATTTGACCGTCGGCTATACACTCGTAGTGGTTAGGTAACCCTTTTTGTTTATACCAGCCACCAATAGCCAGCTTTTGGCCTGTAGCCTGCTTAGTCATTATTCCAATTTGATAACTAAAGACGGTAAGTACGATGAGTTAGGTAAACTATTGTGATGTAATATCTAGACTTTAACTGGAACTGAGTGTTTAAGTACAGATGCCCCTTAAATAAAAGGCAAAGAAGATAAGTCAGACCTGTTTATAGTGTTTAATTAATTTATTTTTATGCTGTAGATATATAAACGTATTTTTAAAAACAAGTTTTTATTATATATAACCATTTGAAACACAGACCATTTGACAGTGCACTATTTGTACCAATTATATAATGCCTTTGACACGTTTAAAATCTTAGGCTTAATCTCTCCCGTGATCATGATTGCTGTAAAGCATTCAAAACGTCAGGAACCAAAAATCAAAATAAATCCGCGAAATAATCCGAAAAGATAGTTTTATTTAAAATGTTAATTATTCGCGTAAATCTAAGTAAGTGTAGCTAATTAATAATTTAAATTGGTAATTTTGTGGCAACTTACCACTTTATTTATACGCTCGCCTTACTATAAATAAAATGATAAATGTGTTTTGTCCAATCGTGCGACAGCATGATTTTGTGCAGGACATCGGCGTTTTACAAAACTAGATTTTTAATTATATTGAAGCTCTTTAAGTCTTTTAGAGGCTATGAAAAGGTGCAATATTTAATAATTTAAAACTTAAATTCACCTTCGGAAGAAGGCCGATGAGAGATAACATTCGTGCCCCTTCGATAAAAGGAATAAAATAGTTTGGGACTATTCTTCAATAACACAACAAAAATAGTCAAAAGTACCTACTTTTGACTAAAAAGGTTGTTCAAAATCAGTTTTGACTAGAAAATATTGGTCAATATTACTTTTGACTGATTCACCCAGAATTAGTCAAAATCATTTTTAATAAATAATAAATATCTTATCTTACCTAACGTAAAATTGCCTAAGATATTATAAATTTCCTTGATAATCAAATATTTTCGAAGTTGGTGTGCTTTGCTTTGTATGGGCTGGCACCGATTTCGAAAATATTTGATTAGGTATGTATTTAATAGGTAGGCTTTAATTACTTAGCCAAAGCACACCGACTTCGAAAATATTTGATTAGGTATGTATAGTAAATGAAAACTACCAATCAGTTATTTTTTACTTTTTAGTGCTTTTGTTTGAAGTCGGTTTTTATTTTTTTGTTAAAAAGTTTTTATTTTTTCCTTTTTAGTGTAGACAGTAGTAGCAAAGTAAGAATTCTAACGTGTTAGGCTTGTCAAATCAAATAAAATAAGCCCAAACTCAAAGTATCCTACTATTAGCCGTTGAAGAGTTCCACCTATCCACCTTCTGGCCTTACCATCAGATCAAGTCAACAATACCGAACCACTGTACTATCAACAGAAATAGAAACACTTGCAAAGTTTCAAGTCAATATGACAATTAGAAGTAGGTTAAGTTCATCATTAGCTATTTTTCCACCCTTAGGGGTGGTATTTTTTTTTTGAAATTTAAATGGGACCAGTCTGGAAGTATACACTTTCAAAAAAAAAACAAAAATTGTCCAAATCGGTTAATAAACGACGGAGTTCTGAGGTAACAAACATAAAAAAAAATACAGTCGAATTAAGAACCTCCTCCTTTTTGAAGTCGGTGGAAAATCTACTTTCCTCGTTATCTTTTTAAGAGTTTTGACCGATATGACGATCTAAACTGGTATTGGCAGAGACCTGCAGTCAAGACTGTTTTTGTCTGTCAAAATAGGTTTGACAATTAACATACTCATGTAATAGTTCATAACCCTTGACATCAGTCATTTTTTTGTGTCACTCCACACATGGAAGTGTTAATTGCTTATTATTTTAATCACAAATTTTAATGTATCCCGTGTTGGTAACATTGGAGTCTATATAGATTGTTTACTGAGCTTTAATAACAGTCATTAAAAGCTAAAGGTGTATTTGGGCAATTATTTGAATTGTAAGATTTGATCGAAGCCAATTGAACTGCACATTAATTTGTTAAAGTTTTGTAAGAATCGTAAAGATTTGTGTCGGTTATACAATATTGATGAAAATGCAGTATTGTGAAAACATCGTTTGAATATATTCATTTTCTAGGTATGCCATTCCTAAAGAGGGTTGACGAGGCAGGCGGCCGGTCGTAAAACTTTTGCCAAAACTGATCAGCAATAGCCAATAGGTATAGATGTACTGCGCCGACCCCAAATAATTTGGGAAATGGGCAGGAGGATGATGAAGTCATTCTATGAGGGAAATAACTTCATCCTGTTCTTTAAATGTAGCATTTGAAATTTCTAAATAATAGAATAGAACAGAATATAATAAAGTTTAGCATAAACTTGTTTGTTTTTAACTAACTAGGGAAAATCATCTGGAGAATATAATTATGTAAAAGTTGTTATTGAAGTTCAAAAATAAAATATATGGTTTTTTTTTGTTTTTGAGATCATACAATGTTTATTAAGTTGTATCATGAATATGTATGATGCAAATAAGTAAGGATTGTGATTTGATTGATTTGACTAAGATGGGACCTTTTTGACCGATTTCAAAAATGGAAAATTGGATCGCATTCGGCCCTTTTTAACGTCCCACTGCTGGGCACGGCCCCCCTTCAAAGCGAGGGGATCAGGCCGTAGTCCACCACGCTGGCCAAGTGCGGGTTGGCCGACTTCACATGTCTTTCGAAAACTCGTATAGAAAACAAAATATAAACTTTCATACATTTTTTTTTCAATCTGTTATACTAGTGTTAAAATCATCTAATTTTGGTAACAATTACGTTCTATGTGATGTTAAGGTTCTAATCCAGCTTTTTATTTGAAAATATCTTGTTTTTAGACCTTTAGATTTTAGTGTTCATAATACATATATTCTTCTTAATATTATATACAAACATTTATCACAACACTGTTTATTATGCTATTTAAAGATTATATTACTGATTTTTTGTATTTTTTCCGAAGGTCAAAGAGACAAGCCGTTCGTGTCCGAGTCGGATATGAGACTTCGCACTCCTCGCCCAGACATTCTATCTGTGCCTCCGAACAGTAAATATTATGATGGATTGAGAGAAGCGAAATCTAAGGTACACTAATCACTCTCGCTCGCTTCGTTCGGGTTCATCCCTAAGTTGCTTCCCATACAAACTTTCATCCCCATTTTCACTCCTTTATGGAATGATTTTCGGGTGATGGATCCCAGGGTCACAAACTATCTTCTTACTTGTATAAAAGGTCATGGTATGATAAATAAAAATAAAAAATTGAGCATCTTTTAGTACAGAAATATTTTAGTTATATTATTAAATCAATTATTATAGAGCCAAAGATCGAAGATTCATAGATTTTATTGATTCTAGGTATTCAGTTTTTTTGAAATGAAATATGTATTTAGAAATCTAATGATGAATTTTAAATAAATTAAGGATAGGTTTTCTATATAAAACTAGTTTAAGCGGTTTAATTTATTTTTATCGCATTAATTAAGTTTAATTTATAGATCTAGAATATCTGTTGTTTTAAAAAAACATTGTCCATATTATATATAATACAAGTAGCTTAGCAACCTAGATGTTACTCCAGATCATAGATTTTCTATGTCTGTACCTACTAAATTTCTACCATGTGGACCATAGACTGATCTCCCTCGTAAGGAATGGAGGCCCGTGCCCAGCAGTGGCACGTTAAAAATAAAGGGCTGCATACATACTTCCAGCCCACGAGAAGACCAAACATATTTAACATGCACTCAAGCATGTCGTACAGACATACAAACTTTTGAATTTATTATATTAGTCTAACGAATTTTGGCGAATTTACTTGCAATATTTACAAACGAAGTCGTAAAAAATTTAATTTATAATATATGTTTCACTTTTTTCCTGTTGTTATATAGGCAATACACAAATAAACGCTATCTTAAATTATTTCATTACTATGTATTAAAATTATTCACTTGTACTTTATTGGTTTGCAGTTCCCGTCTCACCCGGGTAACAGCATCGTTGGAATATCAGATACAATCAACACGAACGAAAATGAATTGGACAGTGACAAACGAAACTACAGACCGCCTACCTCGTGGTCTACTAGTTCCAAAAAGAAACAACCTTCGATAAATAAACCTGAAATCGATATTGATTCGAATAATCTTGCAATAAATAAGGTTAAAACTAATGTTCTGAAAACTAACTCTATATTTTCTTCAAACAGCGATGTAAATCGCCCATCTCTACTTTTAGTTCCTCCTTTCTTGCCATCAACGACTGAGAGTAATTCTGGTGTTTTTGAATTGAATAGCAAAGTGAAACCAACTTCGGATGCTGTTTTTAATTTCATTAAACGTTTTGATCCTAATTCTTCTGATTCTATCAAAACCGCAATGACAAAGACTGAAATTATCGATCTCAACCATCACCTACCTGAAGGACAGATCAGCTCAGAGGAAGATCGGAGTCCAAGAAAAAATAAAAACTTCGGTAATAACTTTAATATACTCCAAAGTAGTAGTAAAACTAGTGCTTCAGAAGGATCAAGATTCAATACTGTTAATATAAAACCGAATATTGATTCTAATACAGAATCATCTAACATTCAAGTAGCATCACCATCTAAAGAACTATTACCACCCAAGTTTGATATTACTCCAAAGATTACAACTACTATGGGGCCTCCTATTTACTATGAATGGAAATGGGCAGTACCTGCATTTGACTTGGAACCTCCCAAACTTAGCAATGAAACAAACTCGACTACTCCAAAACCTGTTAAGCAACAAAAAAGACCTTTCAGTGTCATAACTCGATCTACGCCGAAAGAAGTTGATCCCACTCCTCGTAACACTGAATATAACATCAGCTCATATTTTGTCCCAGATTACGTATTTCCATTAGACAGTCCACATCCAGGGTATGAGGATGAAAATGCGCAAACGTCCTTCCAAGTACACGTACCTCGGCCTGGTAGAGAAAGTTATGGGGAAAACCCAACTTGTCCTCAATGCCACCCAGCTTACCTCAATCCTGGTACTTGCGAACCTTGCATTGTCAAGCGGTAACATCTAAGGATACATTAGTATAAGTCTTTATAGTCATAATAATTTGGGAAATCGATTTTGACCTACCACATTCCCATTAAGACCAATATACACGTCAAACCTTATTTATTAAGTAAAAGACAGGTTTCATTTTGAAGTAATGACTATTTTAGAATGATTATAAAATGTACAGATAATTTTAAGATGATAGAAAAGTCAAGAACGAATATTCTCTACAAATATTTAAGACGCAACCTAAGAATGCAATCTTGTACAGTAGTTATTATATTGTGCAGTACAAATTTCATGTACATATTATATACATATGTTATGTTAATTAGATTCTGGTGTAATTTATAATAACTTTACTTTATCTAACTATTGACGTATAAATTTAAAATAATTTACAAAGTGGAATATTAACTAGATTTTTTTTATATTTATATGAAAAGTTTTTTAAATAATATTATTGTAATTGAGATGTTACATAAAAAAGATCTTTTTTTTATTTCATGTGTCAAAAAAATAGACTAAGTGGTTATTATAGAAGTCAATGAAGTGTATTTTTTTTTATTTTTGTTGTTTATCTATACTATATCAAAACTGTAGAGGTCGCATGTCTGTACATAGAAAAAAATTAGCTAAAAACCGAGTCAGGGGGATGTAAGAAGATTGATAGTACATATACAGACTTTTTTTTAAATTTATTTCTCTGTCTGTTTCTCTGTTTGTACGGGCTAATCTCTGAAACTATTAGACCGATTGAAATGAAATTTTGCATGGTGGTACCTTATATCCCCGGTCAACATTTTAAATATTTTTCATCCCGGAAAAGTGTACGGTTCCCGTGGGATAAATTTGTTTTTGTTTGTCTAGAGGCGAACCCGAGCGAAGTAAGGGTCAGCCGCTAGTACATATATAAATGTCAACAATTGTAATGTTATTGTTATATTGATGAGATGTAATAAACTTTTATGTAATATTCAAACATAGTACAAGCTTATAATATGTAAAATAAATGGACATCATTTAAGTTAGATTAAATATTTATAACTTTGTTTATATTTTATTACACGTGTCTGTTAGAAGTAAGCGAATAAATACCTAACATTGTATTTTTTTTCCTTTTTAATTCTACAATTATAAGTACTATTTTTAAATAAAAAAAATAATTATCTGTGAGTTGCGACTGCAGGTTAGATTACATCACCTAAAAATTAAAATAAATAGTCTATTAGCCAACGAATATAGCTTTCGCACAGACACTGCCGAATCTTGCTATATTTATAAAGAAATGAATAAAATAAAAAAAAAACAAATACTGCCATAGCAAAAAAAGGTAACACACTATCATGTAATGCCAGAATTACTTAATTACCCTTAAAAATGATAGTTGACTGCCTCGATGATGTAGTGGCTAGCATGTACGCCTGCAAATTGGGAGGTCCTGGGTTCGAGTTCCGGACTTTACAAGTTTAATAAATGAGTCTTTCTGTTAAAAAATGAAACTCGGAGTTGAGTAGTTAGCGGTGTTGCAGCCCCGTGCCTCGAAGAGCCTGAGCCGGTTGTACCGAATTTTTTCCTATCGGAATTTGAGCGTGAAAGGAATAGAGTGTGCACTTGTGTAAGCACATACACGCGCTGCACTATAATAATTTCTTCGCAATTGGCTAGTTTCAGTGAGATTGGCGTGGCCAGAGTAGGTCAGGAGTCGGTTAGTCGTTGTTTTGGGACACCCGCTAGAAACGAAGTTCTTTTCCTTTGGCTCATAAATTATGTCATAAAATTGTCACGAGTACCAACTACCAGGTTATTATAAACACCAAGCAAAGAACATTGACGACACGTTTGGCTCAGTTTGCAGTGACCCTACTTGCTGTGCCAGCAGTCGCGGGTTCGAATCCCGCTGGGGGCATTCATTTGTGTGATGAGCACGAATGTTTGTACTCTAGTCGTGGGTGTTTATATTTATAATATGTATGTATTTAAAATTTATATATGTGTAGTTTTCTCTCACCGGTCGTGTCGAGCGGTCGTCCCACCGGAGTATGAGAGTGATAGGAATAGAGAGTGCACTTGTGTCTGCGCGTACACTTGAGCACTATAATATATCCTGCGCAGTTGGCTAATCTCATTGAGATTGGCCGCCGTGGCCGGAATCGGCTAGGAGAACATCACATCATATATGTGTAGTGTATCAACTATCTGGTATCCATAACACAAGCCTCGTAGCTTATCATGGAACTAGATAGTGCTGTGTTAATGTCCCAAAATATTTATTTATTTATTTATATTTATAGTACATTGAAAGCGTATGACAAGCGTATGACACAGATTAAAGAGACTACAGCGTACGAACAAATGCAGGTACAGTTGTTACAAATGTATGTTTAATTCCTTAACACTTATGATAGTCTGGTACTTATGATGACCTGCCAAAAATACAATTATACATTTCGTTTAATATAAAATTATAAGTAGTAGTAGGTACAACTGAGGTACTATTTGTGTGTTGTATTCATCACAAACTGTAGTATTAATAATTATTTGGGACATATTAATTATTGCATCTCATTAGCATCCAATTCTGTTCTTCGTAGTAAAAACTGAAAAACTGATTAATACGGAATACCTAATTCTAAAGAATTCGATCCAACGTCAAGCAAAACCTGATCGTCTGTTACGTTAGGGCATATTCTATCTCTTTCTAATATACAATCTTTTAACAGTATGTAACTCAAATAAAAATTTTGTAGCTACACGGTATACCTCTGTAAAATAACTACAAAGTACAAGCGTCAAGACCTATATTTGGGCTTACAATAGGGAAGATTTCTTGAAAGGAGGGCGCTACACTTATCACCTTTACATTCAGTCTAACATTAAGCAATTTATTGTGATATCTCATGGTTTTTTGCATCTATTGTGTTGGCATCTTACCTGTGCAATGTATTGTACCTGGAAGTTAGAACAGCTGAAGGCAGAATTGAGAAGGAGAGGTGCATCCTGCAGTAATTCTGACTGATGGATCAACACACAGCTTAAACCGCTGATCGTAGACACTTTGGAAAAAATTTGGAGGACTTATTCCTTATAAAATGTATGCATCTGATAAGAAACAATTTTTTGAAATTCATCCCAGCCTATCCCATTAAGTGGATAAAAGAGGGGATTAAAGATTGTATGAAACTCTGTCATTCTTTATGTAAAATACAAAGAATGTAGACAATAGAACGAATGTGGTGTTTAGCTTTAAAATAAAAAAATAAACAAGAGATATATTTATTTGATTTTTTTCGATATTCATCTCTAAATCCCTATTCCTAAAAGGAGTAATAGGGGGTAATAAAGTTTCTATGGGAGAAGAATTGTTTAAGATCAGAAGTACTTGAAACTTGATATATATGCTCTTCAATACAATGAAATAAATACGTGTTTTAGCATTTTTCGAAATGCAAGCCCTTAAGGTAAAAATACGGGGGATAAAAGTTTATATGAAACTTTGTAATTGATATGTAAAAAAGTACAAAAAAAAACACCAGTAGACGACTTAAGAGTTTTGAAATCATTTTCTTTATCATGACATCAACATAGCCATAAATATATAGATTGTGATTTCGCCAATTTTGGTAGTCTTATTGCTTTAGTCCACAATTTCTTCAGTTTTTGTCTTTTGGGAACAAATATCCATTTTATTTACATCCTTGATCCTGGCACTGCATAATTTGTAATTTTAAATGAAATGAAAAAAATGCATCCACGCTATAGAGCTTTACAATATTCTGAAGGCTATAGTGATTGTGACATCTGGCGGGAGAACAAGGCAAAATTCTTCTTCTTCCCCGTTATTTATTTAATATTTATTACCGATGACATCATACCGAGCTACGGTATCAGTTTAAAATATATTATTAGGCATATTTATACTGAACGTTTTGATTTTTATTTGTCATCCATGGTTTTGATCGTCAAATTGAACGACGAGATTGTCTTTGAAGTGTGTAGTTAATGGCGTCGTATACATGACAAATGTCATTGTCAATTGATATTTCGCGAATGGCGAATTGTCGTGTATAAATGTGTAACATTTTGCAATTTAGCACTTTTTAGAAAGTTTAAAACATTCACAATCGAAAAAAACGTGGTCTTAATATGAGTAAATCAAATCCATTAGGACTAATAGCCAATTATGGTGATTCTGATGAGGAATTAGAAGATGGGCCTTCTACACCTTCCAAACGTGATAATGTCAAAGGTATGGAATATCCAGGCTATGAAGTTGTTCCAAACCAACAACCTACAAATATACCTGCTGGTATACATCCAGCACCGATACCTCATTGTCGTAAGTATTTTATATATTCATTTTTTCATGTCTGCGCATATCAATAAGACCACGTTAATTTGAAAACCGGTTTCTTTATTATAACTAATAATAGTACTATGTAAAGGTTAATATTTTAAGACAAATTAGTATAAATATGTATTTAGAAAACGTGTCATAAAATTGCGTATATTATTAATATTCTTGAGATATTTTTAATATCCTTGATCTATTCATTGTTTCTTGCTATAAATAAACACTGCAGTATAGAGCTATGTTTTATTGTAATATTTTATTTGAAAATTTGTTTCATTTAAATTAATCTTATTTAAGGTTAAATTAGCTCTCCAGCTTTAATAATAGCATTGTTAATAATTAAAGGTTAAGCAAGTGCAAATATTACAATCTTGTTCTTCATAAGCAATTTAATTCCCTAATAATGATTCAATTATGTGATTTTGCTGATTCTTATAGCCTGGTCAGCCTGTTATGACGAAAACAGTGGATTCACATACTATTGGAATCAGCAAACGAATGCGGTGACATGGGAAGCTCCACCTGAGTACCTACTTGCTCTTAAATTGGCACAACAGCAGTTACATACATCAGGTATGTTAAATAGTAAAAAAGTGTTGATTTCATGAAATTATCTTCATAGTATGTTAACTGTTCATCTACTAATATATTTTTTATGTTATTTTGATTGCAGGCTCTACAGAAGTATCTGCCGAAGAATGGCAGTTATACCAACAAGCATTAGCAGAGAAGCAGAACTCACAAAACAAAGTGATAGCTAAAGTGAAATCTAAAAAACCAGATAAGAATGTAAAAGACAAAAATAATAAAAATAAAAAGAGGCCTGTCAGTGATGACGAGGAAGAGTAAGTAATTTTTATTAGTATAGATTTGCTTTGGAATAGTGTATGCAATCTGTGCATGAATAAAACAGTCTTATAAGTCATTGTTTTAAGGGTTTCTTATATAAAAGTTTTTTAGGGTTATGACATTCTTTTGTTTCTCTGTTCTAACTTTAAAGGGCCTATGTATTGAGCTTAACCTTGACACTTGGCCATTTATAAAAGTTTTATGTTTATGGATGCTCTGATTAATCATAAAAAAGTACTGGTAAAGGATATCTATGTAAGAAATATGTTTTAGAAGTGTTTAATTTTTTTGGACCGAAGGGTAACTTGATTGTTTGTGAAATTTGATACAACATGATCGAGTCCGTAAGAATTTCAAATACTATATTTTATAGGTAAATTTATGTAATCATAAACATAATAAAAACAAATCATAAAAAAATATATATGGATGTACATGTATCGATTTATTTTATATAAAATTTATTTATGTGTATCTATTAAAGTGTTCGAATACACCACCTAGTGTACTTATAAAACTTACCCCTCTACCTCAAGGTAGCCTGGAAAAGATCGCCTTTAGAGATAAGATGTATTTTTGGTTGAATCTTTTTCTTGGTGTACAATAAAGTATAATTGAATTTAAAAAAAAAACATTTTTATACTATTAGAAGTAAGAATTATAAGAAAGAGAAAAAGTGTTTTTGATACTATTTTTAAAATACTATTTGTACTTCCAGAAAAATAGAGCTCATCACTTCCTACCACAATTCTGATTCAGAATCCAATGATGAATCAGAGAAAAAACCCAAACCACCATCACCAAAACCAAATAAGCTACCAAAAAATCCACAGAAAAAGCAAAAGACCAAGCCTCAAACGGAATTTGGTCCACCTTTACCTCCACACCAGAACTATTCAATGCCTATTGGTCCAGAGCTACCTCCAGAACTAATAAAACCGAAATCTCCTGAAAAGGTGGAAAATAATAAAGAAGAAGTAAGTTTTGTAATTTTTCTTATACATACATATATTAACAATAACATCTATTCTCTTTTAATTTTACATAAAAACAATTTTTGTTTTAGTTAAATTGATACTAAAACAGATTATAAACACATATGGGATATGAAATTTTATTTTGTGAAATTAGCTTTTTGTGATGAGAATTGTAGATATAATTTCCTGTGGAAGTGCTAATATTAACATCTTATGTTAAATATTTGAATGTAGGTTTGTTCTCTATCATGCAGTAAAATAGCGAAGCGTTCATGAGCTACATTATAGTGAAATATTTTATAAATATTGTTCCGAAAGGAGATATTATCTCCCCATTCTGTTAAATTTCAATCTAACATCCACTATGTTGCATTGCCAAACATAAAAAGCACATTGCACATTGTTTCCTATTTTGCCACAGGATTTATGTACATTGTCAATTCAAGTTACATCCCTGAAGATATAAAAGTTTTTGTTTCTATGTTACTGGAATGGTTAAATGTTTGTTCATGTTACCATCATATAACACACACGCACATGCTCACACAAACGCACATACACACACGCATTTCTTTTTTATTACTTTTATATTATGAATGATGAGAAAACAATCTGATAATCGCTTCAAGAATAATAATCCAAGGTGACTAATAACTTATAATTTCTATATTCCACCATTTGAAATCAATATTTTATTGATTTTACATGGTGTGTGAAAATAGTGTTACTTATGTTCTTTTGACATGTTTTGTCATATGATAGAATATGTCATAAGGCATAGTAATGCTATAAAAGAGTTTTTAGTTAAATTGGAAATGTTATCAAGCGTTGTGATGGGTTAAAGTTTTCAATCTGAAACTTTATAAGGATGAATAAAAAATGCAGAATTTTTTATTTATGTTTTAATGGATTTTTTTTGTACCATGTTAGGATGCCAAATCAGTTAAGTCCATTGATGATGATAGTCAAGATGAATCAATCTTATTAAAAAGATTAAAAGACAAAGCGAAGCTATTAGAGAAACTTGGCGGGGAATTACCTTCAGAATTACAAAGGATTATAAAGGACGAATCTAATGCTTCATCACCAAAAGACATGAATGTCGATATTGATGATCTGTTAGAGGAAATTGAAAAGAAAGAATTTAAAGTGAAAACTAAAGCTAAAATCGATGATAGATCTAACACAAATAGTATCACCAGTTCACCAAAAGGTGATAAAACTCCGCCTTTGGATGAACTAAAATCTTTGTATCCAATGAATGGACCAAGCCTGTTCCCAAGCGCAGTTAATATAGACGAAAATAAACTTGATGTAAAACAAGATGCTCCAAATGAGAAAGAGAAAAAAGAGAATGTCTATTTAATGGCCACAAATGAACATCTAGAGAACGTTAATAGGAAAAAATTAAGAATATCTAATTCAGTTTTGCCAGAACGTAAAAAGGAAAAGATAGAGTTGCCAGTTTACACAACGAAATATTCACAGTTTATAGAAGGGTTTTCAAATGAAAGAACTGGTTTAGGTTTTTCCAAAGACGATGAAAGTGAAGCAAGTCCAAAGAACACGATAAATTATGGAAACGGTTTGACTTTTACAAAAGGAGAGACGCTGAATGAAGAGAAAAAAGATGAAGATTTAGACGATTTAACAGAGCTAGTTGAAGCGAAATTGAAGTTTTTGAATCAATTACAACCATGTTCTTTGACGCCGCTTCAGGAGATGTTGATTCAAATGCAGGTAAAATATATATTTTATTCTTGTACATACATATAGATTATATTCTTTTCTATTATTCTTAGTTGCTATTACGTTAAATTAATATAGTATCATATTTATCATAACAAGGTATTAAGTATTAGGCTTAATAATAATAACAAATTTTTATTAATTAGACTTACACAAGCATTTTTGAATCGTTAATTTCATTTAAAAATAGTCACATTGTTCGTTTCTTCAAGATAATCTCAGAAACTACCAACTGCGAAGTGTACCTAAGAACGCTGGGTTACTACTTAGAGATATTTTAATTTAATGTTTGGTTTACAAAATAATAATAATCCTTCCGACCGATTTCCGCTACGGTGGCCTATCTGATTGAGACTAGCCAGACGCAGAGGACATATCATAGCACACAATACAAGGGGGTGAAACACCACCAACTTCCCAACTCTGGGTTGTTACTTAGGATTTCTTGATAGAAATGCTTAATAACTAAACTTGGCCCGACCTGGGACTCAAACCCAGGATTTCCATTACAGCCGTACATGCTAGCCACTAGACCAGCGGTTCCCAATCTTTTTGGGTACAGAACCCTAATTGATCATAATTTCTTTTAACGGATCCCTATTTTGATAATAACTAAACTGTTTGTGTTGTAGTTAGAATACTTTCTTGTTTGATTCGAAAGAACAAATCGTAAATGAACAATATTAAAACTTATAATAATATTGCACTCTCTATTCCTGTCACTCTCATACTCCGGTGGGACGACCACTCGACACGACCAGTGAGAGTTGAGGCGCAGGACCGACGGCTTTACGTGCTCTTCGAGGCACGGGGGTGAAACACCGCCAACTTCCCAACTCCAGGCTGTTACTGAGACTTACTATATAAAAAGACTATAACTAAACTTGGCCCGACCCGGGACTCGAACCCAGGACCTCCGGGTGTATAGCCGTACATGCTAGCCACTACACCACCGAGGCAGTTTTTTTTATAATAGCATTATTATTAGGCTTCATGTCTGACAACGTTTTATTTAACTCTCCGACGGAACTCTGAACCCCTTTTTTACCTTTAAAAATGCATTTAGGCACAAGGTGTGGGACTCACAGGCAAAGCCAGTACTACCCACTAAAACCCCCCATCTTAACCCAGTGCGTTTCTCGCCGAACCCCAGGGTTCCGCGGACCACCATTTGGGAACCGCTGCACTATACCACCGAGGCCTATAACCAACAATTATCACGTCTCCCCCAGACGCTAGTAAGCGCTTTCCGCGCCGGCGCCCTGCACACGTCGTACTGGCGGCGGTGGGCGGCGCACGCGGCGGGCGCGCTGCTCGCGCACGAAGCCACCGCCGCGCCGCCCGGCTGGCACTGCGAGTTCAATAGGTACGACCCCACTTATATATACACGACGCCATCTTGTTCGACCATCTCTTGTTTTGTCACACCGACGCGTTTTATTTTGGTGTAATTTTTTTTTGCTTAAGGTTGTCAGTTCTTTTTTTTTTGGTTGGGATGATTTTGGGGATTTTTTTGTTTAGTTCAGGGTTGTTGGGCTTAAAAAAAAATATTTTTTACTCCCATAAGAGACTCGGGCTCATGTGGAATCAATTTGGGATAGGTCGTTTGTAAAGCTATTAATGTTATAAGTAATTTACTCAATTACTGTTGTTTATTTTAAAGCGGGTGTTTTTGAACAGTATTTATTAAATGAGAACTCATTTTTAAAAGTGGACGGTGTATTATTATAGAGTTGTAATAAATCTCTGCTCTAAATTTTAAATCACTTTAAAAGCAATAAAAAGTAAACTAACATAGTGACTTTAAACAATAATAAGGTTTCATAGCAGAAAAAGGTAACTAAATCCTCCTCCGTCATATATTTGTTTTATAAAAAAAAAATCTTGCAGTTTTAATAAACAGTATAAATATGTTAGATACAGTAGAAAGAAAAGTAAGAGAAGAGTGGATTCGTTTCTAAAATAGGAAAAACTCCATCCAAAATGATTAATGAAATACTTTAGTTTCTCTCGTGACTAATTATTGTTTTTTTTTAATAATTACTTGAGTAAAAAAAAAGAATTATTAATATAATTTTTAAAATTTTATTATTTATAATACGCTTCGGTGTGACAAACGGATATGAACTTTGAACATTCAATATGTGAGGTGCTTTCCCAACAGACTTTATATCGGAAAACTTTATTTGGAGGAAAATATAAAAGGTGAATGAGTACAGTTTTGTGTAAAATAAAAAAAATTGGGCCGTTTAACCTTTACGCGATGTTGAAGTAAAACCTCTTTTGCATATATCTCAATTAAATTTAAAACAAATCAATAATAATAATTAAATAAGGCATATTACAATCATATATTTATAGAATATATACGGAAGGAATATAATATTATATATTTGTCAGACAATTTGTTGTGTTACCATGGCAGCATGGCAAAGTGTTCTATCTCATTCTCTCGCCGGCTAAATCCTATATATTTATGTGTTTGTCTGTTTCATCGAGTTTCAAATCGCAAAGATTCTAAAGAAGTTTCACTTCAAAAACATATTTAAAATTATACGCAATTTAATATATTATATTGTCAATCATAAAAACAAACATATTATATGCAAGGTTGTTCTTGAAAATACTTTTCTGAAAGACTAATTTGGCTTCATTATCTTTAATTTATTGTCAGTCCATTTCAATAATAATTTTGCAATTCATTCATATTTATTTATTATTAAATACAGTAAAGTAATTGTAAAAAAATAATTTCAAGCAAAACGGAAAAATATTTGTATTTTTATGAAAAAAAAAAACTTTTTGTGATAAACTGGATATATCTGTGATACAAAGTACCTGATTTTATTGTTAAGTGGAATAAATTATGTTTTAATTATATACGAGTTTCTTTGATTATATAACCTTTTTATAAAATCATGATTCTTTAAAAATTGTTATTTTTTTTAAATCAATAATATTAATGTTTTCAAGAAATATTATTTAAATATAATAATTTATTACCAAAGTAGCTATTAAATAGTGAAATTTAAGAAAAAAGAAGACGATAGAGAATAAAGAAGACTTCGCGCCGTGGATTTCGGTAAGAAAACATATAATATATTTATTTTTTTAATTTCTTGATAATGCACTTTGATCTTTTCCAGTGGGCGTGTTGGTAGCGATCTACCGGTTTGTGTCTGCTGTAAAGAAACGTTGAAAAATAATAAAAAAACATAAATAATAATAACCATAGAGTATTTTTGGAAATATCCAAAATATTTAGGATGTTATAATAAAAAAAAATTAGAACGGTTATCAACGCAGAGTAATTTCGAAGCAGACACAACGTGGATATTCTTATCGGGTTAAAGTATGAACAGACCTATTATATAACTTCTCGCAAAAATTTTCTAAAACCATAAAAAATAATATGGGGAAAAGAAGAATTTTTGCGACATTAAAGTGTTATTTTAAGTCCATCTTGAGCTTTTAGATTGGTTAACTGTCTTAAAAATAGTAAATATATCATAACTAAGTAATAAATGACAATAACAAAAACCGGCTAAAAGGTCCAAAATCTAAAATAACTAACTTGTTTTCGCTGAATTATTATTTTTTTTGGATTCATTCTTACTCGTCAATGGTATTTCGTAATAAATACTTTTATCCACATAACTTACGTACACAGTGATAAAAAATCGCGTTCTGACACCACAAAAACACAACATTTAACACTGCAAGTACCATTAAAATGAATATATTAAGACACTTATCCAATATAAAAGCGAATAACAGAAGTTACAAGAACAAACACTGTGACAAATGTATCTGTGTCAGGTCCGAGGGCCGGTACTGCTACCGGCGCGAGTCGGACGGGCTCGTGCAGCACGAGTACCCGGCCGTTGCGGATACGGATATGGATATATGTACAACGCCGCCCCATCCTGGCATTGATGCAAAGGTAATTTGAATGAAATCGAATATTATACTTTCTTAGATTTACCCGAAAATTTGTCATTTTAAATAAAACGGTCTTTTCGGATTGTTTCACGGATTTTTTTAGTTTTTTTTCTTATTTATAATAATAACACCTAAATTTATATAAATAATATTCTTATATTTAATTTAATTATAATATTTTTTTTAAATGCTTAGAATTAAAATCAACAAATATTGTAAGGTACTTTGATGCCATTTTTAATTTTTTGAAATCATTTTGTAAAATTGTGGGTAGGCACTGTCTGTAACAAGTATAAAACGCTTTTGAGACGTCTATAACCTCAGTCTCTCCCGTGACCATGATTACTGTAAAGTATTCGAAACGTCGGGAACCAAGAATCTAAATAAATCCGTGAAATAATCCGAAAAGATAGTTTTATTTTATTTAGAAAATCTAATATTATTTATTTATAATACACCATTATTTTGCATTACATTCGTATTCTTAGCAAACTTCTTTGATATCCATATCATGGGGGTGTATAAAAACATAGTCCGGAGTTAGTTTGCCATATTAGATTTACAATGACGTCACTTACCTAACCATGCATTGTCGTTCAAACTAAACGTGTATGCGAAGTTTCGGCTCAATCGGTTGAGGATAACTGCTTTGAAATTCAGTTGCAAGATTTGACCCGAACAAATAACCATTGCAAGCATCTATCAAAAAAGTACTAAATACGCAATCCCATGCAAAACTTAAAGTTGTTTTCACAAAAAAATATTGAAAGCGAGTTCAAGTGTTCTAATGAGCGCTCATTCGGTGAGGTCATTTTTTGTCCCTGATTGTTTATAGTAATATTATAAAGAGATAAAGTTTGTGAGTTTGTGAGTTTGTAACGTTGTAGGGGGTAATCTCTGGATTTATTGAATTGATTTAGTTGAAATTTGGTAAGAAGATAGTGTGAGACCGTTGGAAGGATATAGGATTTTTATCTCGGAAATCATCCCTTATGGGGCTGAAAATGGGGATGAAAGTTTGTATTGGGAAGCAAGGGACGAACCCAAACGAAGCGAAGCGAGGGTGAGTCGCTAGTGTTAAATAAAAGCTTGTAATAAATAATGCCCTTTGTTTTACAATTTACTTCTTTTGATTGCACCATGAAGGAGGAATCGATCCCGCAGCCGGCGCCGAGCGCGTCGCCGCGCTGGTGGCGCAGTACGCCGCCGCCGCCTGGCACCGACGCCGACCCCGACCCGCCGCCGCCGCCGTCCATTGTGAGTATCTACTTCATATTATTAAACTATACAGGTGGATTTTTGAGACGGGACAGTAAGGGTAGGTACCCTAACTGCTATAGTTACATGAAAACTGTTTCTAGGAGACTATCCATAACTTTTTGAGATAATCTAAACTGCATTCAGATATTTTGGTAAAAATGTGTAGTCAGCGAAAAAGATGGTAAAATACTAAAAAAAATTTTTTTATGTCAATCGATCCTATTTGGTGTGTAGCGAATAGCGATTAAAATACTCTATGGGACCATTTAAGGTATGAGTACTAGAAATGACAGAAATCGCCAAAAACTTTTGCCCTACATTTGGTACGGAAAAACGATTAATCAACTCGAAATATTCTTTGTTGCCAAACGGTCCTATTTCTTACTGCCAACTGAAGTTTCAGTACAGAAACTACGGTAAGTTATAAAACCGGGTTTACATGGCAGGCATTTTATGCAGCGGGCATAAGATAAAAATTTTCAGTTTTTGTTAAAGCAGTCTTGTGGCATACTGTACCTAGAGGCAAAAGTAGGTACTTTTATGGTTTAATATGTGTAGTGTATCAACTATCTCGTACCCATAACACAAGCCTCATAGCTTAGCATGGAACTAGATGGTGCTGTGTATTAATGTCCCAACATATTTATGTGTCCCAATGCTGGGCACAGGCTGCGCTTCAATACGAGGGGGATCAGGCCATAGCTAGCCGAGTGCGGGTGGACTTCACGTGTCTTTCGATAATTTGCTAGGTTCTCTCAGACATACAGGTTTCCTCACGATATTTTCCTTCACCGTTAAGGCAAGTGGTAATCATGTTGATAATGATTCGCACATGAAAATATCAGAGGTATATAATATTAATAATCACTTTTAATTGTTTTTAAAGATTTTAAGGTCGGTTTACATATCTTAGTGAAAAGTAAAAAAATATTTTTTAAATTCAATAATTTTTTCTCTATCCAAACAACACATAAATAAAAAAATATATAAAAAACGCGCTTTAATGATGAACCGAACTAAAAAGTAAAAAATATTTTTTACTAAGTATAAGAATAAAGTGATTAACGAGAAAATTAATGTAATTGTGAAAAAGCGTGGGGTTCTTTGTACAATATTTTATACTAACTCTACTTTTATAAGTCATACCAATAGAATATTTATAACAACTGATATCGAGCACCCCACGCTTTTTTCGGTTCATCATTAAAGCGTGTTTTTAAGTTTTTTAAACTATAATTTATTTTCTATTTTTTAATTTGATCTGCTAAAAACGCGTACTTTTTTTTAGTTTTTTTTAAATATTTTTTTTTTAAATATATTGCATTGTCATCGGTCTTTGTAAAATGTGTAAAATTTCAGTTCCATCTGAAGTTTTGAAATGGGTGAAAATCGCGCTTATAGATTTCGTTACATAGACAGATAGATAAATACAGGTGAAGCTGATAAAAGCGTGTTCAAAATGTTGTAAATACTTGAATGACAATGTATCTATATATAGTAAGTGAAGTACTTAATCCATAATTTTCTTATTTCCAGCATGAGTCTAAGACCGAAATAGGAGATGAGCTTCTCTCTTTCTACAATGACATAGCCCAACTGGAGCAACACGCCCCCGCGACACCCCCAGCACCCCCCGAGACCCCCCGACCGCCACAGCCCGCCCACCGACCACCACACATCACCCCGCGACCCCCACCACCCCCTATGATAAAAGAACCAAGTGCTGAGAGGGATACTAAAGATACAAGTAAAGCTACTAAAAAGAAATCTAAGGTAAGTTAAGATACTTTTTTTGTCTGGTTTTTTTAGGGTCTCGTACTTGAAGAGGTAAAATAAAAATCCCTATGATGTTACATAATCATTTCTTAGATTTAAGCGAATATGATATTTTAAATAAAACTTTTGTATCTTGCCGGATTTTTTCGCGGATTTATTTTGATGTTTGGTTCCCAACGTTTCGAATGCTTTACACCAATCATGGTCACTGGAGGTCTCTACCGAAAAACCGGTGTTATTTAAAACCCTTATGGGGTCATTCCATTCATTTGTGTTTGTCAAGACATGCTACAAAAATATGAGGATACCAGAAGGTCTATTCTTGGACCATTTCACTTCCAAATTTACATAATTAAACATCGAATAACATATGAATATCTAAACAATGTCCTGTCACAGTTTTGTATTACATTGGTTTAATTCTAATACTTAATTATCATTAAATAGTAAAGGATAAAACTATTTAAATTTGTTTCAAAAGTATCTTTGAAAATTTAAGAAAATTAAAATAATTACTGAATTAAAATAATAAGAATGACATATTAGTTTGATATTATTAGGAACAGGCATTGTAGCTTATTCAACAAAAAAAAATTGAAAATTATGTTCATTTATATTTTTTTATTTATTTTTCTAATGGACACATATAAAAACCTAATACTAAATATAATAAATTGTTTGCCACAACGTGCTTTATACTATAATACAGGCATACAGACTATGTATGAAATTATTATAATAACAAAAATAACAAATCTAAAAAGGATTAATGTATACTTAAAAAAAATTCTCAATTTCAGGTAAAACTGTCATCTTCACTGGGAATGAAGCACAAGTCAGTATCGAGTTTGGTCGCTAAATGGCAACAAGTTGCCGAAGAAATTAATTCCGATTAATATATAAGAGATGCTTTTGTTCTCTTCCAATCCTTCTTTCCTTTTTCTTATTTATTCCTTTTTGTTATTCCTTCCTTTTCCTTCTTATTTTTTTCTTCTTATTCCTTCCTCTTATTCTTTCTTTCTTCTTGTTCCTTCCTCCTTATTTCTTCCTTTTTCTTCTTATTCCTTCCTTCTTAAAATGGCTAAATAAGGCTACGTCTTTTTCGTATTTTCCAATATATTTGGATCAAGCCTATGTAACTCTATGGCTGATTATATGCAAAAATGTGTCGATACGATGTGTGTGTGGAAGAAGGAAGAAGTAAGAAATGTATTTTCGCATTTATGATACTAGTAAGGATCTTATTTTGACATGTAAATGTATGTATGTATGTATATTGTATATGTATAGATTAGGTAGTGAGTTTGATTACCGCGTGTGGTATTTGTTTTTGTCGTATATTACGTGCTTTTTTGGTTAAAATGTCACAGTTGAAGAAAGATGGACGAGTAAAATGACTTGGGTTCTATTCTTTTCTCTTTATGATCGTTATTTAATTATTTATTTAAGATAAAAAATTAAAAACTTTGTATATTTTGTATAAAATCGTGCGTCTGTTAGTTATTTGATTTATTGAGGTTATATTAGGCTTCTTAAAGTAAGCTTAATAAAATTGACGAGATAATGGTATAAGTTCAGCTGATCTGTGATACAATTTGTTGTTTCCATGAAACTTGCACGGAAGATATGTACAGACATACACACAGATTAAGTGAAATACTTACATGATCAAAAAATAAAGATTTTTAACGAATACATGAAAGTCCTAGTGAAAAGACGTATGTATATATAATTTTTTTTCTTGTTTTCATTTTTAATGCCTTTTATTGGTACTTGTAAAAAACTGTCGTCAAGTTGCAAGTCGATTTGGAAATATCAGAGGTGCGAGACCCGGGATTTGAACCCGCTTCACTCGGTTTCCCAACTGAGTGCGTTACCACTGGTCTACCACTGCTATACAATTATATAGCTATTAAATTTATTAAATAGCTATTATTAAACCTTCGAGGTTGGACTCATTTGATGTTTTGAGGAATCTCGTACATTAGAGTCGGTTAAAATTGTGTTCCTTTTTTTTAAATTAAAACTATTCATTTAATTGTCGCGTAAATTTAAAAAGTATTATAAAAATATATTTGCTTAAGTTAATTATTCTTTACTGTATTGGATGCGAAGAAAGTTGTGACATTTTTTTTATGATCAAAGTTGTAAAAAAAATTCATGTAATATGTAATAGATACGAGAGCACATTAAAAAGTTTTATTTAATTGTAAATGATGATAAGGTTGTATATAATACTATATTTTATACTTAAAATTAACAGCCAAATAAAATATTGATATATTGAGTTTGTTTTCCTTTATACACGATTCTCATTTTAAATGAAATTTAAATATCTAAGATTTTAAATCTATATATATCCTAATAAATAGTCGTCTCAGAAATTATTGGTTCAAACGATTAATACTAAGAGTTTCTTAATACAGAATTATTGTCTTTTAAATGATGAATTGTAGTAAATTTTACTCTAATAAAGTGGAAAAAATGTTTTTAGTTATATATGTACATACTACTAATATATGCGTAAATTTTCCAAATAAAAGTTTGTTTTTAAAGTACAAGTATTGGTGGTTTGAATAACAAATTTTAAAAAATCTGTAAAAAAAAATTTTGAGTTGAATTGAGGCTTCTTATAAAACATGAGTCGAGCTGGAGGCAAAGTTAAAGATGAAGCGAAATTTTAGAGACTTAATAAATGTTGTGTATATAATACGTTAGCATTTATTCAATTTTTGTTTGTTTACGATTGACTTAAATGTTCTTTAAACTACCTTGGCGAGTAGGCGCTCGTCCAGTAGGCTACCATCATTGGCGATAACGCAAAATACATACGACAAACTTACGAGATGGCACTATAAAATACACCTATCTATATATCGATGAACTAAAAAACACAAAACCTTGTCTCAATACAAAGTTTGATCCAAACCATTAGAGCCGTTTCCGAGTTACACGAAAAAAAATGTACAAGTGCTCATTTTAATATTATAAGATATATACCTACTTGTTTAATATTTGTTATTTATCTTTAAAATCTTCAAAATGAATAGAAATGTTAATAATATTGGTTAAACGTTCCATGGGAATTTTTTATTGGTTCAACTAGCCAAAAGACAAAACGGAATTTTGATTTGATTTATATATGTACATAGCGTAAGTCGAAAATGTTCGATTTTTTAAGATTTATAAGTAAATATTTACAATAAATAGATATTGTAAAAAATCCATTGATATGAGATTACAAGGGCGATCAAATAAATATATTCATTATTGATCAAGAGTTCGTGTCGTATGAAAAATACAGAGACAATTTAGGTCGCAAGAGGAACCGTAAAACCATCTCGAATTCAATGAATAGTAATGACTCTGTACACCTAACTTCGTGCTTTCCTATTATATTGTAGTCTCTGTTCATTGACATAGTTTTATGAGTTTCGATTTGCGAAATAAAAATCTCCTTGTATTTTTTTCTTGACTGCAGTGATCCAGTCCATGATGATGACCAAAGGAGGGTTATGTGTTTGAACTGTATGTATGTCCGACCCATGTTCGTTCGTTCGTAATTACCAAAGATCCGATTGTAAGGATTATAATCGTTAGATTCGTTTTGATAGCTCGAGCGTCATTGGCTATATAGAAATAGTAAAAAATTAAATTAGCCGTTTTTTAGCGCCAAATTGTGTCTTAATTTTTTTTGGCGGGTTTTTAATTTCTATAATACAATTTTAAATACCTATCATTAATTAATAATATCTTTTCGGATTATTTCGCCATAAAATGTCAAAATTTTCGCATTAAAATGTCAAATATTCGCGTAAATCTAAGAAACTATTATTCTATAATATAAATTTAATTATTTGAAACTTTTGTTTGAAACATAGTTCTATTGTAGTAAGAAACCGCCGCATAAGCTTTGTCCTTTCTATCAATGGAAAGGCCTCCAGATTCTCCTTTACTTCTAAGACACAGTTTGCACAAACAATAAACATTAATTCTAAAGCAAACAATTACTTAGAAATCTCTAACTGAAGTAAACAAAGATAAAAGTTTTGGGAAGCTGAGATCTGTATATCCTTCTGTAAATATTAGATATTCATAGTACCTATTATAAATCTATACGTATGCTATTTGAGTTCAGAACTATTTGAGTTAATTTATGAATGGATACTAGCGATTCACTTTGGCTTCGCTCAGGTTACCCCCTACCCCCCAACATGCGTTCACCTTGTTGTGGTGGGGGGGCTCAGTAGTGCCCGGCAACCCAACCGGGCGTGAAGCCAAGAAACGCACAGGGAGGTGGCCCACTTCGGTGGGCGGTGGGAGGTGGCCCTCTTCGGAGGGCAGTGTACCATGCGGGTTGCTCCTGGTACTTCTCTGATAGCAGAGTGGACTGTGGAGCAACCCCGTGGTTGTTGTGGTCTGCTTCGGCAGACCTGCCGTCGGGGCGTTGTAGTTGAATGCGTAAGCGATCCTGCGATGCCCCATTAGGACGGGGTTTATAAAAAAAAAGGTTCGTCCCTAGTGAATAACAGAATTAGTTTATTTAACTGACAGTTAAACAAACAGACAATTAACCTAACTGCCAGTTAAGCAAATTCACAGTTAAACAAAAAAGAATTAAAGAAACAGTTACACAAACAAACAAATACATAAATATAAATATATAATATAAATGTTTGTTTGTTTTTAAAGAGAAAAGGGAGAGGAGAGGGGGTGAAAGGAGAGGAGAGGACAGGCCAAGAAGACAAGCGCAGTAGACAGGTGAAGGAGATTTGCGAAAAAGAACTGCAAAAGACAGGCCAAATCTAAACAACAGGCTCCTCTCCCCTCCCTATTCTTTTATTTTCCTGCAGTAAAAGATATCTTAAATATACTAACCCGACTAATAAGTTGTCAGTACTTACACAAAATTTAAAATCGGTTCAGTACTTTTTTCGTTAAACGCACACACCCAAATAGACAAACATACATACAGAAAACAGACATACAGACAAAAATTTTCATAATCATTTATCATTGTTTTGGGGTCTGTAGGATACAATACGTTACAGTCATTGTCTTGAAAAAATATTTCACGTATAAATTTCGCTTAGTTACTGTTTTATTATATGTATCAATATTGGTTAGTTATTAGTCTAAATACATATTTATTCACAAAGAATCACTTCGGTTCAAAAACTAAATCATGCTCCAAAACATTTATTCACCGTCATCATCGCGCTCAGCACTCTCCTCGCGCAAACTCAGCGTCACAAAGGTACAACTTCTGAATAACCCGTCAGTGATATGAACCTCCAATATTTTTTTAAATGTAGTCCGAAGTTATATATCTAGGCTTTTTTTCGATATCTTATTTAATTTCGAGATATAATTTTTTTTCTGACCGAAACCGAGCGAAAAGCAACCGTATTTTTTCGCATTTTTTCGATTTAAAAAAAGCCTTTTCAAAAAAAGTGTTTTCAATTTTTTTTTGCATTTTGTAGCCCTCATTCAGACGCATCTTTTAACATAATCCCAATCAACCACGTTGTCCCAAAATCCATGATACCAGGGCGATGTCGCACTTTCGCTGAAAATCGGGCCTATACTGAAGGGACAAAAAAATATTTTCAAAGTTAAAAAAATTGTAAAATCAAAATCGAACACAGAAATGCCTACGAATACTGCCACTGAATATTCAATATAAAGAAAAGAACTGAAAATGTTTACCAGAAATAAATAAATAAATAAAAATAAAGTAACAATTCAAATTCGAGACACGCTTCAGCCCTACGAAAGGGTTAACAGGCGGCATAAAGTATCCCTCACGTACTAGAACTTGTCGTTACTACCTCCATCAGGGCTTATCTTTGCAGAGATTATAAATAAATGAGTGTAATATGATATGGAATTA